TACATATTATATGAACATGTCATACTATAAATAAAATGTTGATTGTTGGTCTTACCATACTGAAGCTGCTATTACAGCGTGCCTTTGCTTTGCTTAAAACTTCAAAGTCTCCACCCCTCCTGTCACGTCCCTGTTACTTTACCACGCGAGATTTGTACGGAATGTTTTGAAAGACTCGTGAGCAACATTTTACAGGGTGATAAAATGCTGCATTTCTAATATTTTGTTTAGATTTTTTAGTTTCCTACGCTTATGAAGGGTTAAATTTGTTATTAGTGGAATCAAAATGGCTTGGATGGAAGAATAACAAGGCCGAATTGCTGACAGCCGACATGGGATGACAAAATGGCGCCGAATTTGGACAAAGTTGAGGTTTTACCTTGTCGATGGTTAAACAACTAGGATCTACTTGAAATCCAGTTGAAACTTGTTTAAAATGTACTTGATACCATTATGTTTGAGCTGAATTGCATACTTGGAAGGATTTCAACGAGATCAGACATAAACAGCCACAAGTTTTGAGGGCCACAAGTTTTGAGGGCCACAAGTTTTGAGGGCCACAAGTTTTGAGGGCCACAAGTTTTGAGGGCCACAAGTTTTGAGGGCCACAAGTTTTGAGGGCCACAAGTTTTGAGGGCCACAAGTTTTGAGGGCCACAAGTTTTTCAGCCCCTGGCTGTAATGTGTTTTTACCCTCGTGAAATAAAGTTTTAGTAAAATAAATAAATAAATAAATAACAGCGGAGTAAAGAGGAGAATTTGGCCAAATACGTCCATTTGCAGGAGGTAGATACATTTCAAATTATTATTTCGGTCACAAAATATTAACTATTTTGTATTAATATTAAATATTAACTTGGTTGAGCGCTTGCAACATGGCGGCGATACATGCTCCGAAGTTCGCTCGCATTTTTACGTTATATCTTGTCTTGTATTTGATTTTAAACTTCCAAAATACTGGTAATTCTAGTGCTAACAAAGCTAGCTTTTTGTCTATTGGAAGTGGAAGTGATATAAAGATATTTCCGAGGAGAAACGAAGTCTTGGACAGGCCAACGTATGATGCAATTTGTAGGCAACCAGTAGAACGGAAAGTTATAAAGGTATTGAAATTAACGAAGATGATCTTATGGACTGGAAGTCTTGTATTACTTGCTGGTGATATCTGTCCACAACCTGGCCCTGGAGCAACTAATACTATTTCAAAAAAAGTCTGCTTTGATGTTAAATCTAGAGGGTTAAAGATAGCACACTTAAACATTTGTAGCCTTCTAAGTAAACTTGATGAATTGGCGGTAAGAATGACTAATAGCAAATCGTTTGATATATTGACATTATCTGAAACGTGGTTAAATCCAGATATATCTGAGGACGAGATCAACATC